ATTCAAAGAATTAGAATCATACCATGCAGCTTCTCAGACCACAAAGTAATGAAGTTGGAAATTAGCAACTCAGGAATTCCAAGAGCATACGCAAACACATGGAGATTGAACAACATGCTCCTGAATGAACAATGGGTCATAGAAGAAATCAAAAGAGAAATCAAAAACTTTCTGGAAGTAAATGAGGATAACAGCACAACATACCAAAACTTATGGGACGCAGCAAAAGCAGTGTTAAGAGGGAAGTTTATATCAATAGGTGCCTACATCAAGAAATTGGAAAGGCACCAAATGGATGAGCTTTCAATTCACCTCAAGGATCTAGAAAACCTACAGCAAACCAGACCCAAAACTAGTAGGAGAAGAGAAATAATTAAAATCAGAGAAGAAATCAACAGGATTGAATCAAGAAAAACATTCCAAAAAATCAGCCAAACGAGGAGCTGGTTTTTTGAAAAAATAAACAAAATTGACACCCCAATGGCCCAACTAACTAAAAAAAGAAGAGAAAAGACCCAAATCAATAAAATCAGAGATGAAAAAGGAAATGTAACAACAGACACCACAGAAATAAAAAGAATCATCAGAAACTATTACAAGGACTTGTATGCCAGCAAACAGGGAAACCTATCAGAAATGGATAGATTCCTGGACACATGCAACCTACCTAAATTGAACCAGGAAGACATCGAAAACCTAAACAGACCCATAACTGAGACAGAAATTGAAACAGTAATAAAGGCCCTCCCAACAAAGAAAAGCCCAGGACCAGATGGATTCACTGCTGAATTCTACCAGACATTTAAAGAAGAACTAACTCCAATTCTTCTCAAACTATTCAGAACAATTGAAGAAGAGGGAATCCTCCCAAATTCTTTCTATGAAGCCAGCATCACCTTAATTCCTAAGCCGGGAAAAGATGCAGCACTGAAAGAGAATTACAGACCAATATCCCTGATGAACATAGATGCAAAAATCCTCATTAAAATTCTCGCCAATAGAATGGTCTGAGAAGCTGCATGGTATGATTCTAATTCTTTTGAATTTGCTGAGACTTGCTTTATGGCCTAGTATGTGGTCAATCCTAGAGAAGGTTCCATGTACTGCTGAGAAGAATGTATAATCTTTAGCTGTAGGATTGAAAGTTCTGTATATATCTGTTAGATCCATTTAGGCTATAGTGTCGTTTAAATGCATCCTATTGAATGGGGAAAAGTTGGAAGCATTTCCACTGAGATCTGGGACCAGACAGGGATGTCCACTCTCACCACTGCTATTCAATATAGTTCTGGAGGTTCTAGCCAGAGCTATTAGGCAAGAAAAAGAAATTAAAGGGATACAAATTGGGAAGGAAGAACTCAAACTATCCCTCTTTGCAGATGACACGATTCTTTATTTAGGGGACCCAAAGAACTCTTCCAAGAGACTATTGGAACTCATAGAAGAGTTTGGGAAAGTAGCAGGGTATAAAATCAATGCACAAAAATCAACAGCCTTTGTATACATAGACAATGCCATGGCTGAGGAAGAAATTCTAAGATCAATCCCATTCACAATAGCTACAAAAACAATCAAATACCTTGGAATAAACTTAACCAAGGACGTTAAAGATCTCTACGATGAAAATTACAAAACCTTAAAGAAAGAAATAGAAGAGGATACCAAGAAATGGAAAAATCTTCCATGCTCATGGATTGGAAGAATCAATATCATCAAAATGTCCATTCTCCCAAAAGCAATTTATAGATTCAATGCAATACCAATCAAGATACCGAAGACCTTCTTCTCAGATCTGGAAAAATTGGTGCTGAAATTTATATGGAGGCACAAGAGACCTCGAATAGCTAAAGCAATCTTGTACAACAAAAACAAAGCCAGAGGCATCACAATACCAGATTTCAGGACATACTACAGGGCAGTTGTAATCAAAACAGCATGGTACTGGTACAGAAACAGAAGGATAGACCAATGGAACAGAATTGAAATACCAGAAATCAACCCAAACATCTACAGCCAACTTATATTTGATCAAGGATCTAAAACTAATTCCTTGAGCAAGGACAGTCTATTCAATAAATGGTGCTGGGAAAATTGGATTTCCACGTGCAGAATCATGAAGCAAGACCCCTACCTTACACCTTACACAAAAATCCACTCAACATGGATTAAAGACCTAAATCTACGACCTGACACCATCAAGTTACTAGAGAACATTGGAGAAACCCTTCAAGATATTGGCACAGGCAAAGAATTTCTGGAAAAGACCCGGGAGGCACAGACAGTCAAAGCCAAAATCAACTATTGGGATTGCATCAAATTGAGAAGTTTCTGTACTGCAAAAGAAACAGTCAGGAGAGTGAAGAGACAACCGACAGAATGGGAAAAAATATTTGCAAACTATGCAACAGATAAAGGGTTAATAACCAGAATCTACAAAGAGATCAAGAAACTCCACAAAAACAAAACCAACAACCCACTTAAGAGATGGGCCAAGGACTTCAATAGACATTTTTCAAAAGAGGAAATCCAAATGGCCAACAGGCACATGAAAAAATGTTCAAGGTCACTAGCAATCAGGGAAATGCAAATCAAAACCACAATGAGGTTTCACCTCACCCCGGTTAGAATGGCTCACATACAGAAATCTACCAACAACAGATGCTGGCGAGGATGTGGGGAAAAAGGGACACTAACCCACTGTTGGTGGGAATGCAAACTGGTCAAGCCACTGTGGAAATCAGTCTGGAGATTCCTCAGAAACCTGAATATAACCCTACCGTTCGACCCAGCCATCCCACTCCTTGGAATTTACCCAAAGGAGTTTAAATTGATAAAGAAAAAAGCGGTCTGAACCCTAATGTTTATTGCAGCACAATTCACAATAGCCAAGACCTGGAACCAACCTAAATGCCCATCAATGGTTGACTGGATAAAGAAATTATGGGATATGTATTCTTTAGAATACTATACCGCAGTAAGAAACAACGAAATCCAGTCATTTGCAACAAAATGGAGGAATCTGGAACACATCATGCTGAGTGAAGTAAGCCAGTCCCAAAGGGACAAATACCATATGTTCTCCCTGATCGGTGACAACTGACTGAACACCAAAAAGGAAACCTCCTGAAGTGAAATGGACACTATGGGAAATGGTGACTTGATCAGCATAGCCCTGACTGCTAATGGACAACTTAATATATTATCCCTCATAGTATTTTTTTTTTGTCTGTTCTACTTAATATGACTGGTTTCATTCTGTAATTATCACACAGTTATTCTTAAGTGTTGAAAATTAACTGAAATGTGATCCCTGTTAAACATAAAAGTGGGAATAAGAGAGGGAAGAGATGTATAATTTGGGGCATGCTCGGGCTGACTTGCCCCAATTGGTAGAGTTGGAAACATACCAGGGGATTCCAATTCAATCCCATCAAGGTGGCATGTGCCAATGCCATCTCACTACTCCAAGTGATCAATTTCAGTTCACAATTGATCATAATGAAAGGACTAAGAGTCAAAGGGAGCACATAAACAAGTCTAGTACCTGCTAACACCAACCGATAGAATAAATAAAGGGGAGAGTGATCCAACATGGGAAGTGAGATACTCAGCAGACTCATAGAATGGCAGATGTCCTAAATAGCACTCTGGCCTCAGAATCAGCCTAAAGGCATTCGGATCTGGCTGAAAAGCCCATGAGAGTATTTCAGGCATGGAAAGCCAAGACACTCTGGCAAAAGATCTCTGCGAGTGAGATCCCAGTGGAAAGAACAGGTCTTCAAAGAAGGAGGTAGCTTTCTCTGAAGGGAGGAGAGAACCTCCACTTTGACTATGACCTTGTCTAAACAAGATAAGAATCAGAGAACTCAAGGGGCTTCCATAGCCTTGGAAACTCATGACTGGAGCATAGGGAGACTACTGATGCCATAGACAGGAGTGTCAATTGGTAAAGTCAACAACAGGAGTCACTGTGCACTTACTCCTCATGTAGGATCTCTGTCCTTAATGTGCTGTGCATTGAGATTTAATGCTATAACGAGTACTCAAACAATATATTTCACTTTGTGTTTCTATGGGGGTGCAAACTGTTGAAATATTTACTTAATGTATACCAAACTGATCCTCTGTAAAAAAAAAAAAAAAGAAATTATCAACTCCCAACTTGACTCTCAATGGGATTAAACATGACAATAGGTCTGATCTGATTTCATCATCATTAAAAAAAATCATCTATTATTTTTCACTTTATGTTTCTGTGTGGGAGCAAACTGTTGAAATCCTTACTTAATGTATACTAAGCTGATCTTCTGTATATTAAGATAATCGAAAATGAATCTTGATGTGAATGGAAGGGGAGAGGGAGTGGGAAAGGGGAGGGTTGTGGGTGGGAGGGACGGTATGGGGGGGAAGCCATAGTAATCCATTATTCGTACTTTGGAAACGTATATTCATTAAATAAAAGTTAAAAAAATAATAATAATAATAAATCAATCTTTTTTTTTTTTTGGACAGGTAGAGTTAGATAATGAGAAAGAGAGACAGAGAGAAAGGTCTTCCTTCCGTTGGTTCACCCCCCAAATGGCTGCCATGGCCAGCGTGCTGCACCGATCCGAAGCCAGGAGCCAGGTGCTTCTTCCTGGTCTCCCATGTGGGTGCAGGGCCCAACCACTTGGGCCATCCTCCACTGCCTTCCTGGGCCACAGCAGAGAGCTGGACTGGAAGAGGAGCAACTGGGACTAGAACCAGCACCCATATGGGATGCTGGCGCTGCAGGCGGAGGATCAACCAAGTGAGCCATGGCGCTGGCCCCATCAATCTTTTAAAAAAAAATCCATCTGTAAATGTCATGTGGCAGCTGTGGAGGGCTGAGCACCACAGTAGGTAAGGAGACAAACGCAGGGACGGACTGAGGGGGAGGGGCTGAAGGCCTGGGGAAAACCAACCAAGAATCTGGAAGGACGGCAGCCTGAGTGCTCGAGGGCTCAGACGGTGGCTTCCTGGAACATTTTCCTTTACTTCGTCACTCCTCCCCACCATCTGTGAAACCCTCCCCGAGTAAAACTCACTAAGTAATCGCAGACATACTTATGCCTCTCGTTTAAAGATGGGAACGGGGACAGATGGGTATAGTTGAGTGTTTGAATGAACAAATCTCGTCCGGTTATTACCACAAGTACCTTTTAATTTATCTTTAATGGTCTCGGACAGGCGTTTTGTGAGCTGAGGCATTTCTTCTGGAGAGTATTCAACATTGACCAATTCCTCCTTGAGCACAGCATGGATGCAGTCTTTAACCACGGAGGGTCTGAACCTGAACAAAGCAATCCGAGAACATCATGTCGGTCAGATCTCTCCTCCCCCAGCCTTCTGTCACTGGTTTAACACCACTGAATCCTTCATTTAGACATTTTATTAATAAAGTAATGCAGACAAATTAAGAAGACAAGTCACATCCCAAATCTGTAACACAGCCTGGACCTCTCTTGGTCTACAGACCAACATGTTTCCCAACACACACTGCCCCTGGATGCCCTCCGGCAATTCAGATTCCGCACCTGCTCTCCTGCAGGCTTCAAGTCTGGATCCATGAGAACTCCATTCTCACCAGCCTCAGTGGTCAGCCTTGTTGCTGCTTTCTTTCTCAGACCTCATTCCACTAAGCAAATCCTACCTATACAGTCTACCTTCAGAATAATCTAAAATTCATTCTTCCCACTCACCATACATCATCTTCTCCAAGCTATTCAATGGCACTCTGCGCATGGGTTATAATGGCCTCTCAATAATCCCTCTCTCTGTCTACCTATGCCATCGCTCTCAACATCCACTCTCAACAAAGCAACTGGACTTACCCTGTTCAAACAGAAGGCAAATCACGACACTCCTCTACTGAGGATACCCAACTACCCAGGGGCCTGTGACTTGTAAGGTCCCATGGACCTTCCACACCAGACTTGCTAACGTGTCTTCCACTACATTCCCTAAGTTCTACCCTCAGGCCACACCAGGCATGCAAACCTTAGAGCCTCCCACGTGGTGTTACGTCTGCCTTCTCTCAGCTCTCCTCAAAAGTCACCTTCCCTGGCCACTCTGAAACCTCAAGCCACCTTCCGGCCACATCACTTCCTACCTCCCCTCCTGGCACTGACACACAACACACACATCCCTTGGGTATTTCCTCTTGTTCGCTGTCCTCCAACCCTGCCCCACAAGCTCCATGAGGGCCAAGACTTTTGTCTGCTTTGTATACCACTACATCTCCATCTCCTAGAACAATGGCCAGCACAGGCACTCTAATAAATCCATTTTGAATGAGTGAATTATTGAATAAATGAAGAGAGAGAAAAGGAAAAAAAAAAAGTCGCTCCTAATTCTACCGCATAACGATACCATTAGGTAGGTACTGGTTGAACGTGTCATGTTCCAGCGCTAGGATCCTGTTCCAGGCTGCAGGTGCTATTGGTTGGTTTGTCTGTTCCGGGCCAGTTCTCAAAGTTTACAAGGTGACTCAGTATTTGGTAGTATAGTCTTCCCTCATTACTCCCCCTCCCCCTTGCTACCTTTCAAGGTATTTTCTTTGCTCTCTTGCCTGCTCACTTTCACAGATGAATTCAAGATTCATCTTCGTCAAATTACCAAGGTTTGATCTGTTCAAAACGTGGTCTTCCTAGTAGCAAACACACTGTATCTGGCTCTCCCCTCGGGCCTCTTCACTCCTCAGTAAAACGCCAAGCTTTCTTCAAACAAATCACACATAATCTCACAGGATTGCCCCCACATCCTATCAAGCCTCAGATTCACCCACTCGGCTTCAAACAAGAGAGGACGAGCCTGGGAAACCTCTGTTGCCGTTGATCGTTTTCTCCTGTGAGGATGCACCCTACAGGTCTAGCTGACTGCCCTCTTCCTGCAGGGGTCCGGGGCGGCGGGGTAGGCCCTCGTACACACTCAGGGCCCAGGCCAGGAGTAAGGGCCCACGTGTGCGCGCTGCAACCCGGGACAGGCCGCTTCTCCGCCTCCCTCCACTCGATCCGTCTCCTTTGCGGAGTGCGCGCTCCCCCTGCCTTCGCGAACTGAGCAGCCGGGCTCGGCCGTCTGAGGGCGCTCCCCGTACACTGCTGCCCCCTGCTGGCGAGGGCTGGGAACGTCGGCGCCCCGCACCGCAGCCCCAGCGGGCCCCCGGCCCCAGCCCAGCGCTCTTTCCCGACGCGAGGGCTCCTGGAGGAGCGCGGCGCTCCAAGCACAGCAGCCTCGAGGTCGTGCCCGCCGCCTCTGGCCCGTTACCTGCCTTTGCTGAAAGACGGGCCTCAGAATATAGGTGTTCTCAGGTTCTCCCAGGTTCTTCTCGGCCTCAGGCACCCCGTCGCCCAGCGAGAAAGAGGTGCCCATGGAGAAGGACGCGCCCGGCGGCTTGGCCATGGCCGGGGCGTTTCGGCCTTGACGAAGCTCGCGATGAAGGCCGGGCAGCTTGCGGGGGCAGGAGGCTGGGAAGCGTCGCCAGGGCAACAGGGCCGGGGCCTCACGTGACGCGGCTGCGCGCTCTCTCCCGGGGCCCGCCCTCCCCCGCGCCTGCGCAGCCGCTGCTGGGCGGGACCTGGTCAGATGGGGCCTCCGCGGCGCGCAGCGTGCTTAGTGTTACTTCTCGTTTACGAGCCGTTTAGCAGACCCTGTATGTTCCTAACAGCTCTTCAGCCTTGAGGAAGTAGGAGGCCCCTAGAAGTTCAAGGACATTTGAACTTGCGGCTGAGGAGCGCCTTGAACCTGACCGGGGGCCCTTGGACTGTGGCCCGCGGACTGAGCCCAGCCTTCCTCCTGTTTTGTGAGCTAAGAGCAGGTTTGATACCTTGTAAGTGGTTGCAAAAAAGGAGGATAACATCTTGTGACATCTGAAGATTACAGGAAATTAAAACTTTAGCATCCATAAAGTGTTCTTGGAACACAACTGTGGGCAGCCACAGGTAGTCACTACCTTTGTTTACATTTATTTATTTATTTATTTGACTGGCAGAGTGGACAATGAGAGAGAGAGAGACAGAGAGAAAGGTCTTCCTTTGCCATTGGTTCACCCTCCAATGGCCGCCACGGCCGGTGCGCTGCAGCCGGCGCACCGCACTGATCCGGTGGCAGGAGCCAGGAGCCAGGTGCTTTTCCTGGTCTCCCATGGGGTGCAGGGCCCAAGCACCTGGGCCACCCTCCACTGCACTCCCTGGCCACAGCAGAGAGCTGGCCTGGAAGAGAGGCAACCGGGACAGAATCCGGCGCCCCAACCGGGACTAGAACCCGGTGTGCCTGCACCGCTAGGCGGAGGATTAGCCTAGTGAGCCACGGCGACGGCCCCCTTTGCCCCTTTGTTTACATTTAAACATATGGAGACTTCCCCGGGCACAGACAATTGGGCTAGGGAGATTCCGGGAAGAGGCAGGAAGAACCTAAACCTTTCACAAGAGATGATACAGATAATCAGTCACACCTGTAACCTGCATTTATCACCTAAGTGTTTTATTGTACCCTTGTAATCAATAATTAAGAACCTTATTGGGAACTCTTTGTAACCTTAAGAGCCTTTTTGATATGTAAATCTTTTGTGCTCCTTCTTGTAAACAACTGGTCATGTTTAAATACTACTGCATTTATTCAATAAACGAGCCTTGATCAGGACTTGTCTTGGCTCCATTCTTTGCGTCCTTGTCCCCGCATTCCCACTCTCTGTTTCAGGAAACCCAGTTCATTGTGCCGCAGGCCGGCACACACAACCATACTCATTTATAGATTTTATTTGGAAGGCAGAGAGCGCGAGCTTCCATCCGCTGGTTCACTCGCCAAATGTGCACAACAGGCGGAGGTAGACCAGACCTGAACCAGGAACCAAGAGCCCTGCCTCCCATGTGGGTGGCAGGAACCCAAGGACTTGGGCCAACTACTGCCTCCCAGGAGTTTTAGCAGAAAGCTGGATCCGAAGCGTGGAGTAGTGGGGACTTGTACTGGTCTCCAACTTGGGATGCAGGTGTCCGGGGCAACAGCTTAGCCCACTGCACCACAACGCCCACCTCCCAACCTGGTGTCTGGTCTGCTACAGAAAAAATATTTTCAAAGCCTGCTCTAATCCATAATTGCCAGTCTACAGATGCCCCAAGCCACCTTGCTGCACCAAACCCACACCTGCTCCAGTGCGAAAATCAGGAAAGAGTAGACTCCAGATGCACTGCTTGCTGACCCACACTGTTTTGGGAAGCTGTAGTATCCCAGCCTCTGCCAGCTTCAGACACTAAGATAAAGTGTCGGGGCCGGCGCTCTGGCATAGCAGGTAAAGCCGTGGCCTGCAGTGCTGGCATCCCATATGGGCGCTGGTTTGAGTCTTGGCTGCTCCACTTCTAATCCAGCTCTCTGCTATGGCCTGGGAAAGTAGTGGAAGATGGCCCAAGCTCTTGGGTCCTTGCACCCTCATGGGAGACCTGGATGGAGTTCCGGAAGAAGCTCCTGGCTCCTGGCTTTGGATCGACGCAGCTCCGGTCGTTGTGGCCATCTAGGGAGTGAACCAACAGATGGAAGACCTCTCTCTCCCTCTGCTGCTCCTTCTCTGTATGTAGCTAACTTTCAAATAAATAAATACATCTTTAAAAAAAAAAAAAGTGTCCTGTAATATCCATGCATGCTTCCTTCCTTTGGTAACCTTCAACCTACTAGTTAACAGCTCCCAGAACTTGCTTCTGTAAGATACAAAATAGATAGTTGCTATACTTTTGCGAGTTCCAGTAGAGACTAATTGTACCGGTTTGGGGTCTTAGTTTACAAAGTACCTTCTTGATAATATGTCCAGATTGGTCTCCCTGACACCAATAAACTGCCCCAACCTCGCCTTCCCAGTCCACCCCTTCCAACTGCCCCCAGAGTGGCTTTCCTTTGCCACTGTTCTGCCCGAAATCATTCAGTAGCTCCGTGTGGCTATTCCCACACTTCTCTGCTCATAAATAAGATTGTGATCTGGCCTGTGCTGGGGCACACGCCCAAGTACACACCTCGCACCAGCTCAGTGTAGCCTCAACCTCATGGACTCAGCAGCATGCCCCTCTCTGGGTGAGCTGTGCATCCACAGACGAGCCCAGATTCCATCTGGCACTGAAGCCCAGTGTCTCTTTGGGCTGTGCAGTATGTTTTCTCCTTGCTGTTTAGCCAGCCATAACAAGAAGAGGAAGAAGAAAAAGAACCATACCACTAAGAAGACGACTTTCCCTGACTTTTATGATTTCTTCAATCATGTTTCTCTCACCCTATCTACTGCAGCCCATCAAAAAACACTATTTGATACATAATTCAATTCAACAAACATTTAATTTACTATCTGTGCTGGGGCTAGGTAAACAAAAATGAACAAAGCTAAGGCCTTGCCTTAAAAGATGGACAGAGTTGGCTGGGAGCAATGGACTAAGCCAGTTTTTACTACAGCGCCACTTGGTATAACCATAGGAGCAGGGTGTTACAGAGCTGAAGGGAAGCACTGGATTGTGTACCTGAGTTGTACAATTTGTATAATTATGTAATTATATCAATGTAATAGCAATTGACAGTATACAATATATAACAATATGCACTCTTGTGAGGATATCTACCCCTGAAATAGAGTTGAGAAGTTGTAGCAAAAACTGTGATCCTTATAGTTTTTTTCCCCTTGCAATTTTCCTGGGAACAGGCTTTTATTTGCTTCCCCTGAATTTTAAAAAACTTTGCAACAATCTGAAATGTAGGGAACACAGGAACATTTTTCCCCTAAACCATTTGACTGAATTTTGCTAAGCCTATCACCTCCAGTGCTTTTGTGTTTCCTGCCACAAGGACATTCTCCTACTTAACAAGACTACAACCATCAAAATTAGGAATGTAATACGGATGCGTTCCTATCGTGTAATGTTCACTTCCGTTGGAAGATCGCCCACTGCCCCAGTTGTGGCACAGAAGAAGAGTCCAGTCCATGAGTGTGTGCTGGATTGAGTACCTCATTCATCTTCTGAACCACACTGGTGGACACCACGTCCATGAGAAATGCCCTTATCTTCCAAACACCTGCACTCCAAGCTGAGAGCTGAAGGGCAACCTGTCCTGAAGACGGGCCTGGCTCTCTCTGGCCAGGATTATGAATAAGCAATTATGGCTGTCACCCCAGGATGATAGTCAAGAAGGCACACATGAGGTACAAGACAGCTTTTCATATTAACAAAATATTTCCATAACATTATCCTGGTGAACAGATTAGTGTCGAGCCCAGCACCCTGGGTGGAAGCCAAGACAGGAACCAGACACAGTGTTTTGGGGGAAAAGGAAAACAGAGAGGGGACGGAGAGCCACAGGGCCCAGAATAGAATGAATTCAGAACTTCTTCCCTCCAATCCCCTCCCCTCCTTGCCCCATTGCCTCTCCAAGGCCCTTCTCCCGTCCCTCCTCTTCCAGTCCCTTATGTTAAACTGTGAAGAAGGTAAGTGAGCTGTCTGAGCAGATAAGAGCATCTCTAGGAGTCAGGATGTTGCACCTCTACCTGTGGAACTGCACTTCAAAATTAGGGAGGGCTCTGTCAGTTTCATCCCCAACTTCCATTTTTATTTATTTGTTTGTTTGCTTGAGAGGCAGCAAGAGGCAGAAAGAGAGGGCAAGTCCCCACCTGCTGGTTCACTCCCCAAATGTCCCTAATGGCCAGGGCTGAGCCAGAACTGTAACAGGAACCCAGTCCAAGCCTCCTACCCCAGACTTGGAGGAACCCAACAACTTGAGCCATCACTGTGCCTCCCAGGGTCTGCATCAGCAGGAAACCGCCATCAGAGCTGGGAATCAAAGCTATGTACTCTCACGTGGGACAGATAAACAGCACCTTAAAGGCCAGGCTGAACCCCCACCAACGCTCAACTTCCATTGCTGAGCTTGTGTGCTTGGAGATCTATTTTTTTTTTATTTTTTTATTTTGGACAGGCAGAGTGGACAGTGAGAGAGAGAGACAGAGAAAGATCTTCCTTTGCCGTTGGTTCACCCTCCAATGGCCGCCGCGGCCGGCCGGCGCACCGCACTGATCCAAAGGCAGGAGCCAGGTGCTTTTCCTGGTCTCCCATGGGGTGCAGGGCCCAAGCACTTGGGCCAGCCTCCACTGCACTCCCTGGCTACAGCAGAGAGCTGGCCTGGAAGAGGGGCAACCGGGACAGAATGCGGCGCCCCGACCGGGACTAGAACCTGGTGTGCTGGCGCCGCAGGTGGAGGATTAGCCTAGTGAGCTGCAGTGCCGGCCTCTTGGAAATCTAGAAGTGCCAGCAGCCAGCTGCAGGCAGAGTCACCCTACAGATACATATTCTGCAGGTGAGAACAACCGGCCTCTCTGAGGCAGAGTCTTTGAAGCCCTATCAGGCTTTGCAGTAACACCAGTCTGAGATTCCTCAAAGGATGGAGGCAAAAGTCAGCTCTCCACTGTGGATCGTCTTGGTGCAGAGGATGAACCCTCCTCACCCGGGGTCCTGCTGAGCCTTGGAAGCAGGACTGAGTCGGCATGAAGAGTGAGGACCTGGTTACTGTGTGTGAGTGTGCATGCGTCCGTATGTGCAAGCCTCACACATCCAAAACTAGGTAGTAATTGTCCTTAAATTCTCCACTAATTGTGGGAAGGTGGCAGTCCTTCTTCCTGCAGGGGGAGCTTTTATGGATCAGGCCTGTCCCAGCCACGACCCTGAAACTAAATCAGCCAACAGGGATATATGAGACATACACAGGCAATGCCTACTGGACACTGTACATGGACTTCAAGACTTCTTCGGCTCCTTCTGTCCCTGACAGCTGTGTCTGGTACCTCTCCATTCTGGCCACCTTTGCAACCACGACATGCATGGCAGGACCAGGCACATAGTAGGTACTCAGTGTATTCTGTGTATTGAATTCTACCGAACACTTGTGAAAACAACATTGGTGCATTCATGAGCTAGGGTTGCCACAACACAATGCCAGGGACTAAGTGGCCTAGACAGTAGAAACTAATTTTTTTTCACAGTTCTAGAGGCTGGAAGATCAAGATGCCTGCAGGCTGGGTTTCCACTGAGGTCTCGTTCCTTGGCTTGCAGATGGCTGCTCATGGCCATCTGATCGGATATGTCTTCGTCCTGTTATATGGATGTCCGTCCCATTGGACCACGGTTGCCCTCTTATGACTTCACTGAACCTTCATTACCGCCCTGGCAGCCTTGTCTCCAAGTGGAGTCACACTGGGGCTTAGGGCTTTAACCCATGACTTCCTGGGAAAACAATTCAGTTCATAACAACTGATGAACTTGACTTGACCCTAACCCGGCTGTGTGCTTTTGCGTAGCAAGTCTGTTGCCTTCTGGGAGCCGCAGCTTCTCCATCTGTAACATGTGGCCAATTTTCTTGGGGTTGTCAAGTGGCCGAAATGACATCACACTCAGGACCCTTTCGGCACTGTAAGTTCCTACACAACCATAACGGTGGATTCCGCCTCCCATTAGTGTATCATCTGAGAGTTTTGCAATCACTCCACTCCACTGTTGTGATTACAGGAATCCCTGAAGGGGAAGTTTGTTCACAGTTCATGTCCACGCCTTGCTGCGAGAGGTCAAGGCCGCTCATGAGGCACCCATGCGGGTGAAGGGGCTTTACCTATTGCTTCTCACAGAGGCTGCACAAGAGGCCCAGGAGGCTGTTGATGAAGTGAATGACCCCCAGGAGAAGCTGCAGGAGGCTGATGCACAGCAGGGTGGAGAAGAAGGACACGTGCCAAACCACAGCTTCAGAGGGCTCCAGGCACACAGAGCTCCACAGCGAGCGGTCGTACAGGTAGTTCCTGTTCCCAGAAACAAGGCGGTCAGAGGTTGGGGAATAAGCCAGGGAAACCAAGCAAGCAACTTCAACCTCACTTGAAAGCTGGGACCTCTGCAAGCTCAGCTCATAGGACTGGATTCCCTTCTGTTTTTGAGCATCTAAGGAGCAGGTTGCTAGAATATGTGACCATATTGTGCATTCTCTCTCTCTCTCTCTCGCTCTCTCTTGCTCTCGCTCTTCCTCCCTCCCCTCTATGTGTGTGAAAGAGACAGAGAGAGAGAAGACTGCAAATCCAAGTGTCCATCCATTTACCGGTTAGGCAGGTCTTTGAAAGGGTAACCATATGTCCAAGCTTGTGTCTGATTGAGGGACGAGACATCGAACATGCAAAATGGGCCGTCCTTCAGGGCTACTCCAGAAGTGAGAAAGCAAACCAAGGCTCCAAGCAAAGCCAGGCCGCTCGATAGCAGGGCAGCAAGCATCTGCAGAGGGAGGAGGAAGCAGCGAGCTGAGCTTGGTGCGGCCGGGTGACTTATGGGGCGAGCCGGGTGAGGGTTTCCTCTCATTCTGTAACAGGGGGATAATGGCACCTGCTTTAAAGCATGACCCAGGTTGGGTGGCTGATGGGGGGAGGGAGGTCCTGGGTGCAGCCAGGAAGGAGAGAGGAGAAAGGCTCCAGAGAGTGGACCCGTGGCTCTGGGCCTGGATCCCCCTGCCTCAACACACTTTTCAGGGCTTCTCAAGAGGGCAGCGAAAACCTCTCTGCACACAGCCCACAGTCATCACCCCCTGGGGTAAAGGCTCAGTGTGGCAGTCACACGCCCACCTCGGATTCTCTTAGCAGTTTTTAAAATATTAAGCTCCCCATTCCTGATTCCTCTCCTTCTCAAATCAAACATGGGGCGAGGGCGGGGGCGGAGGGGCAGCACTGTGGCACAACAGGTTAAGCTGCCACTGTATGCAGTGCCAGCATCCCATATGGGCACTGGTTTGAGTCCCAGCTGCTGCACTTCAGACCCAACTCCCTGCCAATGCTCCTGGGAAAGCAGTGGAGGATGGTCCAAGTCCTTGGGCCCCTGCACCTGCGTAGGGAGACCCAAATGAAGCTCCTGGCTCCTGGCTTCGGCCTGGCCCAGCCCTGGAAGTTGTGGCCATTTGGGGAGTGAACCAGCAGATGGGAGATAGTTCTCTCTCTGTGTTTCTTTCTCTCTCTGTAATTCTGACTTACATTTAAATACATCTTTAAAAAATAAACGGAAGGATGTTGAGGGGCAGGAGTAGAGAAGGAGGGAAAAAGAGAAAAATTGCAGCCAAACTCTGAAATGACTCCAGTTCCATCTTGTCTTTATCCAGCCTAGAGTGCCTTTATTTATGATTCTCTGCTCTGCTCTGCCTGCTCCCTCCCAAAAAATAACAATGAGTGTCCTGGCAGGTGTTTAGCCCGCTTTGTCACTGGCTTCTTTCTCAGGATACTAGATTTTTTTTTTCCTTCCTTCCTAAGCAATATGTATGTTAACAATTTGAAGAAAGCCTGTAGAGAATTTTTTCTACAGACTCATCATGTCATGTCCCCACTAATGCGAAGCTGGACTGAAGTGTGGCAGGGACCAGAGAAAGCTGTGACGTGAGTTTGAACTCCTAAGTTAAAAGAGTCAGGGTGACTTAGTCTGACAGGAGCCTGGGGCAGTCTTCTCAAAACGTGGTCCCCGGGAACTTGTTTCAGTGCAAGTTTTCCTGTTCACCCCAGATCTCCTGAATCAGAAACTCTGGGGGTGGGGCCCAGAAACCTGGGCTTTGGCAAACTCTGCAGAGAATCCTGATGCACACTCAAGTAGAAGAACCACCCTCCTAGGGGAACCTGTGGGGAGCAATCCGGACTAGACTGAGTTACTGGAATTAAGACTTATTCTGTGCATCTGCTCTCCCACAATATGGCGCTGGGAGAGGAGAAAACAGCTTCTACGCAGCTGCCTCCAGTTCAACCAATAAACTGTAGGACTTGCTCCTGATTGGAGGAGAGCAGCGTACTCGGCGTGTGGGCAGCCGAGTTGGGATTGGCGGAGGAGGACTATAAAGGAGGAGAGAGACGGCATGCACCAGGAACATCTATGGGGAACATCTAAGGGGAACATCTAGCTGAAGGAACACCTGTGCAGCCCCCGAGAAGAGCCGGCCGGCAGTGTGCCGCTCCCCTGCGGAAGTGGGGAAAGCGGCCAGGGGGAACCGCCCTTCCACGGAGGTGGAAGGGATAGTAGCCAACCCGGGAAGAACCAGCAGCAAACCCGGGGAGGGCCGAGTAGACGGGGGAACAGTGCAGGGTCCTGTGTCGTTCCCCCACGAAGACGGGGAGCGACATAATGGTGCCGTGACTCGGATATGAGGCCTAGGCAGGGTTTAGTGTCGTTCCCCCATGAAGACGGGGAGCGACAGAACCCCAGACTGAACAGAAAGCAGATCGTGAATGAAATGCATGGGTGTTTCTAGTTAACCTTTCAACATGTAACTGACTCAGAGGGATTCTCGGTATGTCGGCTGTGGGTATCAGAACAGGCTGTAGAGTTCACATAAGGAAGCTACAGCTTCATGTTTGAGACTGACATGAATCTCACACACACACACACACACACACACACACTGAATTTATATAGATGCTGCTGTAATTAATAAAGTGCAAGTTTATTCCGGGCCTCACTTTCATTATCTCTGAAATGGAAGGGTTGATCAGAATCCAGTGATTGGATGATCTCTGGGAAACTTTCCAGCTCTAGGAAAATGCTCATCCAAACAGCCAGGCAATTCTCTATCAAGGACATGTGATTACTGTGTGCGTAACTCATGTCCACATTGTTCCTTATGTGTGTATGGACACCTGCAGTTCACTAAGCACTTACTCCCTCGACTTGATCATCTCCCATTTTACAGATGAGACACGAGGCTGGAAAAGTTAGAGCAACTTGTCCAAGAGCTGAGAGCCATGGGGGGCACGGCCAGGGCCTGACATCAGGCCTTGAGGCCGTAACTGCCTCTCGCCCTCTCTGCCAGGAAAGCAGCAGGCTGTGGGGGCCACTCTAGGGGTCAGCAGAGTAGGGTCCCGCACTTACGTTTCGACAGGGCCCACTCTTACTGAAGCAGCCGGCCCTCCAGCCCATCGAGGAGATAAGGGTAGCTGCCGCGAAGACCTGGAGACAAGAGAAGACTGTTCAGAAGACCCTGGGCAATCGGTGTTTGTGCCTGTTTCCAGCTGCTGCCCATGGCCGTTGAAATAGACTTGCTGAACTCTATGGTCCTGTTGGCTTTGACCTCTGGGACCCAATTTTGCATGATGAGCCTAATCTGACTCAGGATGCTCAAGTTCACGCCCAGCCTACCTACTCCCAAGCTAAAAACCCCACGACCCTTGACAAGTCTTCCTACTCCTTGGAGCTTCTAGGGACCCCAAATCAGCTTGTGAGAACAGGCTTTTACAAAGGAATCCGTACACTCCCTGCCTACCAATGCCCTGCCCCACCCCTGGAGACCACTTAGGGCACTCACACCCAGGGAACCCCAGACACTTACCATGAGGCCTCCTCCCCAGAGCCCAGAGCCCAGCATGGCATGCCTGCCAATGAGGCCCCTCCGCAGGTAGGTCACATCCCAGTTCGGAAAGAGGAGAGCCAGGTTGGCCCCAGCGGCACACAGGGCTGCAGACCCGAGACTCAGTCCCAGGATGCGGGAGCAGGTCCGTGTGCAAGCCATCCTGCAGGGAGAGGACAGTGCCCTGGAACTCACAGAAAGGGAGTCACGGTGGGTCGGGCTTGGGGTTGGGGTGGGAGTGGGGGCAGGGAAACCCTAGAAGCACACGGTGGGATGGGGAAAACACACTACAGAAATTGTCACTTCTAAGAGTCGGACCAAGGAGAGCCCAGGAGCTTGCTTAAAAACACTGCCTTTTGGGCCCGGCGCCGTGGCTCACTTGGCTAATCCTCCAAGTGGGGAGGCGCCGGGTTGTAGTCCCAGTTGCTCCTCTTCCAGTCCAGCTCTCTGCTGTGGCCCGGGAAGGCAGTGGAGCATGACCCAGGTGCTTGGGCCTCTGCACCCGCATGGGAGACCAGGAGGAAGCACCTGGCTCCTGGCTTCGGATCGGCACAGCGCACTGGCCATGGTGACCATTTGGGGGTGAACCAGTGGAAGGAAGACCTTTCTCTCTGTCTCTCTCTCTCTCTCTCTCTCTCTCACTGTCTGTACCTCTACCTGTCAAAAAAATAAATATATAAATCTAAAAAAAAAATCAATATATAAATCTAAAAAAAAATCTGCCTTTAATGAATCTTTCCCAGTGACCTGGAATGAACTGCTTAGTCTTCTGCCAGCTCTCACATATACACAATCCACATCATTGGAGCCTCTATTACAACCAATGATGATTTCTATTCAGTGAAGAAAATTTTCTACAGATTTCATCATGATGTCCACTATTACCACTTCTATTAAGCATTGCACAGGAGGGGCTGGCGCTGTGGCATAGCAGGTAAAACTGCCGCCTGCAGTGCCAGCATCCTATATGGGCACCAGTTTGAGTCCCAGTTGATCCACTTCCGATCCAGCTCTCTGCTATGGCCTGGGAAAGCAGTGGAAGATGGCCCAAATCCTTGGGCCCCTACACCCGTATGGGAGACTCGGAAGACGCTCCAGGCTTCTGGCTTCAGATTGGCTCAGCTCTGGCCATTGTGGCCTTTTGCAGAGTGAACCAGTGGATGGAAGACCTCTCTCTCTCTCTCTCTTTCTCTCTCTCTCTGCCTCTGCCTCTGCTTCTCTGTTACTCTGCCTTTCAAGTAAATAAACAAATCTTTAAATATTGCACAAGAAGTCCTACCTACTATAAAGAGAAGTAAAAGTCATACAGATAGAAACGAAGGAAGTAACACTGTCATTATCCACAATTTGCTCACATGTGTACAAAATCCTAAGCAGTCTATCAAAAAGATACCAGAACTAATAGGTGAGTTTAGCACGGTCATGAATTAAAGGTTAGTATACATTTTTTCTATATTCTTATATACAAGCAATGACACATTGAAAATTAGAAAGAGAACATCTAGGAGGTGGGCATTTGGCTCAGTGGTCAAGACACTGCTCCGGATGCTTGCATTCCGATTCCACCTTCCCGCCACTGCAGCCTGGATGATGGGTGCTGCTGGTGATGCCTCAAGTACTTGGGTTCCTTCCAGCCACTTGGGAGACCTTGCCTGGGTTCCCAGCTCCCAGCTTCCATCTGGCAAAGTCTGGGCCACTGTGGGCATTTGGAGAGAAAACCAGCAGACGGGAGCTCTGCCTCTCAAGCAAATTAAAAAAATATATAACATTTATAATGCATGAAATATAAATACTTATGGATAAATTTAACAAAATATGTGTAAGACCGGTATACTAAGAATTAAAAGCATTGCTAAGAAAAATTAAAGACCCACTAAATGGAGAGGTACACCATGTCTGTGGGTCAGAAGACTCAATATCATTAACAGGTCAAATCTGAAATTGACATATAGATCTAAACAATCCTAGTCAAAATCCTAGCAGGGTTATGTTGTAGAAATTGACAGGCTGAACCTAAATGTATATGGAAATGCAAAAGACCTAGATTGACCAAAATAATTTTTTAAAAGAAGAATGTGGAGGGCTTTCACCAAGTCTTGCTACATGCTGTGGCATAGTCAGGCCACCGTCTGTAGTGCTAATGTCCTATATGGGCGCAGATTCGAGTCCCTGCTGCTCTGCTTCCCATCCAGCTCCCTCCTAATGCACCTGGGAAAGCACCAGGTGCTAATGCTTGGGCCCCTTCACCCATGTGGGAGATCTGGAAGAAGCTCCTGGCTCCTGGCTTCAGCCTGGCTCAGTCCTCGCTGTTGTGGCCATTTAGGGAGTGAACCAGCAGACAGAAGCCCCTCCCCCCACTTCCTCTCTCTCTGTGACTCTGCCTTTCAAATGAACAATTAGGGCCGGTGCTGCGGCTCACTAGGCTAACCCTCCGCCTTGCGGCGCCGGCACACCGGGTTCTAGTCCTGGTTGGGGCGCCAGATTCTGTCCTGGTTGTCCCTCTTCCAGGCCAGCTCTCTGCTGTGGCCCGGGAGTGCAGCGGAGGATGGCCCAAGTCCTTGGGCCCTGCACCCCATGGGAGACCAGGATAAGTACCTGGCTCCTGCCATCAGATCAGCACAGTGCGCCATCCGTGGCAGCCATTGGAGGGTAAACCAACGGCAAAAAGGAAGACCTTTCTCTCTGTCTCTCTCTCTCACTGTCCACTCTGCCTGTCAAAAAATTTTTTAAAAAATTAAAAAAAAAACAAATAAACAATTAAAAAAAAAAGCAAGTCTTACTATAAAACTGCAATAATTAAGACAGTGAGGTCATGGCTTAAAAAAAAGACATATAGGGGCTGGCAGTGCCAGCATCCCTTATGGGTGCCAGTTCGAGTCCCGACTGCTCCATTTCTGATCCAGCTCTCTGCTGTGGCCTGGGAAAGCAGTGGAGGATGGCCCAAGTCCTTGGGCCCCTGTACCCGTATGGGAGACCCAGAAGAAGCTCCTGGCTTCGGATTGGTGCAGCTCTGGCCATTGCAGCCAGTTGGGGAGTGAGCCAGCGGATGGAAAACCTCTTTCTCTCTCTCTCTCTTTGCCTCTCCTTCTCTCTGTGTGTAACTCTGACTTTCAAATAAAAAAAAACTTAAAAAAAAAAAGACATATAGATTTGTAGAACAAACTAAAGATTCCAGAAACAGACCTACATACATATGATAAATGATTTTTCAAAAAGATGGTAATTCAGTAGGGAAAGAATAGTCTTTTCAACAGATGATGCTGGAACAATATGTATATAATACATTATCCCATATTAAAACATTAGTTTGAAATGGACCACAAATCTAAAATTAATAAAATTTCTAGAAGAAAACAAAGGAAAAAATTAGGACTCTTGGTTAGAGTTTATTTCATAAATAAAAGGTACAAGGTACAACCCCATTATATATATTACAAAAGATATGTTGGACTACTTCAAAATCTAAAATCTTCAGAAGACACCATTAAGGAAATTAAAAGGGAGGAGGGATTGTGGTCATCCGGGACACTTCAGCTCCTGCTCCTAGGGCTACAGTCTGTCCAGACACAGAGCACCAAAATCAGCCCCCAACCATACCCCGTCCCCATCCCGCCAATCTCTTCCATGGAAAAGGTTCCTATCAGGAAAGTCTTAGGAGAGAAACTAAAAGTGATGGACATACAGAGGGAAGGTCAAGATCTTGAGTGTGGCTACTAGGACGAGTAAGTGTAGGGCACACGGCCCAGACCGGCGCTGCTCTCACAGTCTGAGGGGCTGTGGCTCAGTAAGGGTTCCACTTCCTCTGTAAATCACAACATTCTGAGACAGACTGGCAAAGGGTTTGGCTAACCTGGTGTCTAAAAAGAAGCAGCAGCCCTAAGCCGGCTGTGGGGGAGGTCCTCCTCCCAACCCAAGACCCTGGCTGGGCGCACGCATCATGCGGGCAGCGAGAGGCGTGCGGGGCGACCTCAGAGGCAGGAAGATTGCCAGGTCCCCGTGTGTCTGTTCACAGCCTGGGCTGCTGAGCTGGCCTCCCTATCATTCCCTCAGACATAAGGAAGTGACGCCTGGGGCTGGGGTCACAGAGGTGGCAAAGATACGATCCCTTTTCTTAAGGAACTTAAAGCCTATTGAGGAAGCCGCCAATGCAACAAAGCAAGGATAGAAAATTTGATGAGGGCCAAGCAGAGGGCGGAGACACCTAACCTGAGCCTGCCATGGCGAGGTAAAACCTCCTGGAGGGAGTGCTGTCCACGTAGAACCCTGCCTGGCCGCGGGACACTGGGCAGCGACGGGTCCTCTAGCTGTGTGCCACGTCGGAGGTGACCTGCCCACGGTCACGCAGCTGCTTGGTGGCAGGGCCTGGGCTTGGACGTTTGCGCTGGTCACCGCCAGCCCCTGCTGCTCCCCGCCCGCCTCCTCCTGGGCCCCTTCACAGCAGCTCACCTGTCTCCAGTAGTAGCCAACGTCCGCATGCGAGAACCGGCGCCTGGCGAGGCCCTCTGAGGGCCGGCTGCTCACGGTGTTTGTTCCGGAAGCCGGGGAGGGAGGCTCGGTATATAGGCAGAGGTCACCCAGGCCCGTGCGCGTGTGCGTGCGTGAGTGGGCGCTCCCACACCACTGCCCACGGGCCTCCATGGAAGGAGCTTCCTCTCCTGGACAGCTCCCTGCTGATGACCCACCCTGGGCTCATCTTCATGTGACTCGGAGGAAGGAAACGGGAGCCAAGCGGCCTCAGTGAATCACTGGAGCGCCCTGAAAGCACACCCGGTGCTTCCTCGAAGCCACGTGGCTCCCAGCCTCGGCTGCCTCACCCCGCGCAGTGCAGCCTCTTGGGAGAAGAGCGCGCAGCAGAGCAGCCTCTGTCCTTGTCACCCGCCTTGCACTGCCACGCTCTGGCTGGGTGTGCAACCGTCTGGCTTATTCAGTCACAGCCCAGGCCAATGTCGTCTCGCGCCCCAGTCAAGCCAAAGTTCTGCCGGCTCCCTGGTGGTCCGTGCCGGGGAGACCCAGCACTTCTCTGGATAAGCTCCTCTTCAGATCAGCTCCAACATCGCCAGGAAATTCTTCCCTGATTTCCTCATTCAGAGTGCGGCCCTTCTTCCTCTGTGCTCTCATGGGGCAAGATTTTGTAAACATGTATATGACATGCAGTAAACTGCATACAATTAATTATAAAATCTGATGACTTCTTCCATGCACACCCAGTTGGACACCACACAGATTGACACAAAACATCCCCAAATCCCCAGAAGTCTCCACTGTGTCTCTTCTGTCATTATCCACTATCTGCAGTGTTGATTTCTATCGGGGCTTTTCTTTTTTTTCTTTAAGATTTATTTTATGTATTTGAAGGAGTTACCGAGAGAGAGAGAGAGAATCTTCCATCTGCTGGTTCACTCCCCAAAAGGCTGCAAAGGCAAGAGCTGAGCCAATCTGAAGTCAGTTACACAGAGGAGGGAAGAGGAGAGGAGAGGAGAAGAAGAGAGAGAGAGAGAGACAGAGACAGAGACAGAGACAGAGACAGAGAGGTCTTCCATCCGCTGGTTCACTCCCCAGTTGGCTGCAACAGCCAGAGCTGCGCCGATCCGAAGCCAGGAGCCTCCTTTGGGTCTCCCACGCGGGTGCAGGGGCCCAAGGAGTTGGGCCATCTTCCACTGCTTTCCCAGGCCATAGCTGAGAGCTGGATTGGAAGTGGAGCAGCCGGGTCTCCAACCAGCACCCATACAGGATGTAGGCGCTTCAGGCCAGGGCGTTAACTCGCTGCGCCACAGCACTGGCCCAAATAAAATAAATCTTTTAAAAAATACTCTATTTGTGAGATTCATCCATCCTATATCTTGGGGTTTTTTTTCTTTTTCTTTTTTTGACAGGCAGAGTGGACAGTGAGAGAGAGAGAGACAGAGAGAAAGGTCTTTCTTTTACCGTTGGTTCACCCTCTAATGGCCGCTGCGGCCGGCGTGCTTCAGCCAGCACACCGCGCCAATCCGAAGCCAGGAGCCAGCTGCTTCTCCTGGTCTCCCATGGGGTGCAGGGCCCAAGCACCTGGGCCATCCTCTGCTGCCCTCTCAGGCCACAGCAGAGAGCTGGACTGGAAGAGGAGCAACCGGGACAGAATCCGGCGCCCCGACCAGGACTACAACCCAGGGTGCCAGCACTGCAGGCGGAGGATTAGCCTATTGAGCCGAGGTGCCTGCCGGGTTATTTTTTTTTTCTATTGAATATTATTCCATTGTATGACTCTATTACAATTTACTCTTGATGGATATTTAGAATATTTTCAATTTTTGTTCATTATAAACAATGCTTCTGTGAATACTCTTACCTACATATTCTGAAGGAACTATGCACTAATTTTCTAGGAATTATACGTAGGGTAGGATTGCTGGGTCATAGGGTAGATGAATAATTTTGGTAAAAATTGCCACACAGTTTCCTGAAGGGATTCTGCCAATTCACACTCCCATCAGCAGTATATGAAACTTCTGGTTTTTCCACATCCTTCCTCCCAAGCACTCTTAATTTTAGGCACTGTGGCGGGGGTTTGGTGGTTTACTCTATGTGGTTTTAACTTGCATTTTCTTGATGAGTAAGCACCTTTTTGTATACTTATTGACCATTTGGAGATGCTCTTTGGAGAAGCTCCTATTCACATCTGTTGCCCTTTTTTTTTTTTTTTTATTAGTTGTCTTTTTCTTACTGGCTTATAGGAGTTCACTGTAACTCCAGGAGTGACACTGCTGTGGCTTGAACAAGAGTTGGCTCACCAGCCTCATGCAGACAGTTGAACCCTGAAGTCTCATGTTGGCAGTTAATGGACTAAGGATAAAGGCTGACGGATTAGGGGTGGAGACTTGATTTAACTGTGGTGGTCCACTCAGTGGGGGGTCTGTAGGTCACTGGGGGCTTGGCCTTTGAAAGGTAGTTCTCATGAGAGGGCTGCTTATCGAAGCTGAGTCCAGCCTGCTTGCTGGCCCAAGTGCCGGTCCCTCTGCACGTGTCCACCATCACCAGTCTCTGCCAGACGCCAGCCTACTGAGGCCACTGTAAGCCCAAATAACCCTTCTTAGTTGCTCCTCTTGGATTTTTTTTAAAAAAAGATTTATTTATTTTATTTGAAAGGCAGAGTTACAGAGAGGCAGAGGCAGAGAGCAGTCTTCCATCCGCTGGTTCACTCCCCAGTTGCCTCAAAAGCCAGAGCTGTGCCGATCCGAAGCCAGGAGCTTCTTCCAGAACTCCATTCAGGTCTCCCATGTGGGTGCAGGGGCCCAAGGACTTGGGCCATCTTCTACTGCTTTCCCAGGCCATAGCAGAGAGCTGGATCGGAAGTGGAGCAGCTGGGTCTCCAACCAGTGCCCATATGAGATGCCGGCACTGCAGGCGGCAGTTTACCTGCTATGCCAGTGTCGGCCCCTTGATACGGAGAACTTACACACATGCAGTATCAATGTTGACTTTTCCCTCTCTTAACCATGTATTGGGCAACGTGATTCATTTTCATCAAGATTTACTTATCAGTCTATTTATTTACAGTCAATGCCTTAAGAAACCTTTGCCCAGTCCCCTCTGCATTTTAACTTACCTGTGTTCCTCATGTCCTCTCAGCCCCTAACCATGACAGCCTTGAGGGCACAGGCGGTCTCCTCTTCTGTCTGCTGGGTACACCCTGGACCCAGTGGAGAGCTTGGAACATGGCACGAGTCCAAACCACTTGATTCTTGATTCTGTTGGACGATGCAGTGACAACAAATAAGGATATCGAACTGTGTATTTCAGGAAATACACTTTCACCACAAAGAAATGATGAATATTGAGGAGATAGATATCTGCACCCTGATTTGGACACTACATATGTACCCATATGGAGAGGGAGAGAGGGGGAGGGGGGAGAGGGGGAGAGGGAGAGAGGAGGAGAGAGAGAGAAAGAGAGAGAATCTTCCATTCACTGGTTCATTGGTTGCAATGGCCCAGGCTGGGCCAGATCGAAGCCAGGAGCCAGGAGCTTCTTCTGTGTCTCCCATGTGGATGCAGGGGCCCAAGCACTTGGAGCCATCTTCTGCTGCTTTCTCAGACTCACTAGCAGGGAGCTGGACTGGATGTGGACCAGCTGGGATTCGAACTAGTGCCCATATGGGAAGCCAGCGTGGCTTTATACACTACACCACAGCACAGGCTCCTATACGCAATGTATTGAAACATTGCATAGAACTCTGTAAGTATGTAAACTTTTATGCATCAACTTAAAAATAAAATAATTTTTAAAAATTCCTTGATTAATGAATTCATTCATGCACTGGATGAAGTTAGCACAGATTTTACCTCTAATAATGGAAATAAAAATTGCTGAGAAACCTCTTATTGCATATATATCAGACGGGGCCATTACAATTGGAAATTACAGTGTAAGTGCATGTGCACATATATGTACTTCAAACTAAATCCGGTCAACAACCATGGATAAGCTCATTAAGCACGCAGTTTCCATTTTCATTGTAAAGAATCTTCTTTCAGAGGCAGATGCTGTGGCACAGCAGCTTAAGCCACTGCCTGCAATGCTGGCATCCCTTAGTGGGCACCGGTTCGAGTCCCAGTTGCTCCACTTCTGATCCAGCTCCCTGCTAATTGCCTGAGAAAAGCAGCAGCAGGTGGCCCAAGTGCTTGGGCCCCTGCACCCACGTGGGAGACCCTGAGGAAGTTCCTGGCTCCTGGCTTTGGACCAGCCCAGCCCCAGCTGTTGTGGCCATTCGGGAAATGAACAAGCAGATGGAAGACCTCTATGTTTCTCTAACTATGCCTTTCAAATACATTTTTTTTTTTAAAAAAGAAACATTTATATTGTTTTTTTTTTTTTTTTTTTTTTTGTTTTTTTTGTTTTTTTTTGGTTTTTTCTCAAAATTTTTTTAAAGCTCGACAGAGTGGACAGTGAGAGAGAGACAGAGAGAAAGGTCTTCTTTGCCATTGGTTCACCCTCCAATGGCTGCCGCGGCCGGCGCACCGCGCTGATCCGAAGCCAGGAGCCAGGTGCTTCTCCTGGTCTCCCATGGGGTGCAGGGCCCAAGCACTTGGGCCATCCTCCACTGCACTCCCTGGCCACAGCAGAGAGCTGGCCTGGAAGAGGGGCAACCCGGACAGAATCTGGCGCCCCGACCAGGACTAGAACCCGGTGTGCCGGTGCCGCAGGCGGAGGATTAGCCTAGTGAGCTGCAGCACCGGCCTATATTCAGTTTCTAAAAGATACTTACAAATTATTTCACTGGATCCTTCCAATAGACCTGAAGCAAGGGAAAGAAATGGCAGGTTAGTCAGTTTGCACATAAAGATTGGAGCTCAGAGGATTTCGACCTGCTCACAGGGAGTGAGGAGGACGGGGAAAGGATCCCGCATCATCTGACTCTAGAGTACCACATAGTCATGCTTGAGAGGCTCTTTCCCCTACTCAGATTCCAACTATCTTAAGATATAAGAGTACTTCAAACCTTTTCTGGAAAAAAAAAAAAAAGAGAAGACAAGCTCAGGGCAGGCATGTAGCCTGCATCCCACACTGGAATACTGGGTGATTCCCAACTTCAGCTCTGGTTCTTGATTTCCAGCTTCCTGGTGATGCAGACTCTGGGAGACAGGGGTGATGACTCAAGTAACTGGATTCCTGTCACCCACATGGGGAAGCTGGATTGTCACTGGCTCCTGGGTTTGGCCCTGGCCCATCCTAGCCGTTGCAGGTATTTGGAGGGTAAACTATCTGATGGGTGCGCTTTTTACTGTCTCTGGCTCTCAAATAAATGAATTTAAGTTCATTTTGGTGCAAGAAAATTTTAAAACCAGTTTTCCCCACAAAACATTTAAAGACCCCTCAAATGCATAGATTTCAGATTTTTTGGCACCAAAATTAACTATTAATTCCATTTTCCGTGAGCTTGTTACTGTACCATGTATTTCTGCTTGGAGACAGTACTGTGGTGCTTTGGCACCTGGTCATGGGTCTCAGTGCCTATTCTACATACCTCCCAGCTGTGCTGTGTGGACATGGGGAGGTTACTGAGACTTGGTCATCATCTGAGCCTATTTCTCATTTACAAAATGATGCCACCTCACAAGTTTATTCTGGGAATAAGATGCAAAATGCTCACAGTGGGTTAGTTGTCTCTACTTTTGGATCTCAGGTTAGCAAAAGGGATTTTATATGCAGTGTCTGAACCTCTGGTATTCAGGCAATAAGCAGATGGCTGATTGCCAGCTACCACTCAGGTTGCCAACCCAGCGGCTTCTCTAATGGCTGACACTCTCACATGGATGTCATTAAAGTGGTGCTTGGGAAACAAAAGTTCTGAAATCTGGCTTTAAGCCCTTGTAGTATCAAAGTTACTCTGGGACCAGTGGTGATGGCATATATAAGCCTTTGCTCTTTAGCTAAATTTGTGCTAATTAACTCAATAAGTTTTACAAATAAGACACTTTAAAAAAAAAAAAGTTTAGGCCGGCACCGCAGCTCACTAGGCTAATCCTCTGCCTAGCGGCGCCGGCACACCGGGTTCTAGTCCCGGTTGGGGCGCCGGATTCTGTCCCGGTTGCCCCTCTTCCAGGCCAGCTCTCTGCTGTGGCCAGGGAGTGCAGTGGAGGATGGCCCAGGTGCTTGGGCCCTGCACCCCATGGGAGACCAGGAAAAGCACCTGGCTCCTGGCTCCTGCCATCGGATCAGCGTGGTGTGCCGGCCGCAGCGCACCGACCGCGGCGGCCATTGGAGGGTGAACCAACGGCAAAGGAAGACCTTTCTCTCTGTCTCTCTCTCTCACTGTCCACTCTGCCTGTCAAAAAAAAAAAAAAAAAAGTTTATTTTCATTTTATTTGAAGGCAGAGAGACAAAGATCTTCCATCCAGGGCTGACACTGTGGCGCAGCAGGTTAAAGCTACAGCCTGCAGTGCTGGCATCCTATATGGGTGCTGGTTCGAGTCCTGGCTGCTCCTCTTCCCATCCAGCTCTCTGCTATGGCCTGGGAAAGCAGAAGATGGCCCAAGTCCTTGGACCCCTGCACTCGGGTGGGAGACCCAGAGGAGGCTTCTGGTTCCTGGCTTCAGATGGGTGCAGCTCCGGCCGTTGCAGCCAATTGGGGAGTGAACCATCGGATGGAAGACCTCTCTCTCTCTCTGGCTCTTTCAAATAAGTAAAAAACAGAGTGACTCTATTTCTGGTCTCTGTAATCTCCATCATGCTAGTTCACTCCCCAAAAGCCCACAACATCCAGGGATGGGTCAGGCCAAAGCCAGGAGCCAGGAGCTCCATCTGGGTCTCTTGTATGAATGACAGGGACCCAAGTACTTGTCACTACTTGCTGCCTCTCAGGGTGCACATTAGCAGGGATCTAGAATGGAAGCAGAGCCAGGACTTGAACCTGGACACTCCGATATGGGACGCAGGTGTCCCATGTGGTAACTTAACTGCTGCGTGAAATACCTGCCCCCTAGACACTTCTTTAGGAAACTCTATCTTTGCAAACATCAAGTTACTAAGTAAATTTCTTCTTTTTCCCATGGCAAGCTTCCCATGGTAACAGAAGTCTGATCACTGCCATCAAAGAACTAAAATATGATCATGTTATGGATGCGTTCATATTAGAATTTGGCTCTACTGAAGACAGTTACTAGTTATACCTTTGTTGTCACATTTCTAGGGAGGAGCAAATGGGAGTCCGAGGGCACAAAGTATGAATAGGGTCTGCAGCAGAAAAATAATTTAACTCCATCAAAGGCTTGAGAGAACAGGGCAGACAGACATTCTATTCCGAGGAACACTGTGGGGACTGGAAGTGGGATTTGAGCAAGGAATGGAGGAAGTAGGGGAAATGGAATCCTCTGGCAGAAGGGAAAGGGAAAAGATGACACAGCTCAGCCACTGGGCCAGCTGTTTCCCAGTCTCCTCTGGAAGACTGACAGACTAATCAGCTTCCTTGTGGTGGCCTCCAACCTCAGCTCATAGCTGACAAGAGTCCATTTCCTTAATTGGAAGGATAAATGGAAGGGATGTTGAAAGTACTGCCGTTTATGCCAGTTCACTAAAGAGGAAGCTTGGATGTCTTTTTTTTTTTTTCCATTAGTATAAAAATAGCAAACTTCAAAACACTCAAAGTTGGCTTCTCTCCAACATTGTACTGAAACCTTTCTTGGTCTCCAATGACTTCATGTACCTCATGAACATTTCATTGTCCTTTGACCCACAGGCAGCATTTGACAACGGCTTGATTCTTCTAGAACATTCTTTCTTAGCACCCTGGACATCCTACTCGTGTTTCTTTCACTGGTGCAGCTCCTTGACTGTCTCTTTCTTGGGGTGATCCCCCAGGCTGGGCTCTGGGTTCGATTTTAACTCTTTTCCTAAGTGACATCATTCTTTCTCATAGTACTAAACCCCACCTAAATGCTGATTCCTCAAATCTCTTAACTGCAGTCTCTCTCCTCCAAGCTTCCAATTCATGTATCCAACTTTCTGTCTGTACTAGCTCTGCACTAGGATATATTATCTAAAGGACGTCTCCCTCATCAAACCTGTTCATCCACCTGTCTTCCCCTTCTCAGTAGATACCACACCCTACCCAGTGACCAGAAATTGAGTCACTCCTCCTCGCCCCATATTCAACAGTCTGAATGTGTACCTTCAAAGTGCCTCTGTGATACAATCCACTACCACTCAGCTCTAACCCAGGGGAGCTGCTCTGATCTTGACCAGTCCACCCCCTACATAACAACTTTTCACTACACTCAGAACAGTATCTGAGCTCCTGACTAGGGCCTAATAAGGCCTTCTATAACCCGATCCTACTTGTTTTATGCCACTCTCTTTGCCCACTAAATGCCAGACGTCAACTCCCTCACTTGCCTATCCTCAGCATTTGTTGTGCTTCCAAGTTTTCCTCCTACAACCTTCAGGTTCTCAGACTAAAAGTCAACTCCCTTTCTTCCTTTTTCTTTCCTTTCTCTCTTTTTCTTTCCTTTTTCTTTCTCTCTTTCTCTTCCTTCCTTCCTTTCCCTCCCTCCCTCCCTCTCTTTTTTTCTTTCTTTTTACAGGCAGAGTGGACAGTGAGAGACCAGAGGAGAAGATTCCGAAAGGCAGGGAGCCAGGTGCTTTATCCTGGTTCCTCCCATTGGGTGGCAGGGCCCCAAAGCACTTGGGCCATCCCTCCCACTGCACTCCCTGGGCCACCAGCAGAGAGCTGGCCTGGAAGAGGGGCAACCGGGACAGAATCCAGCACCCCGGTGTGTCGGAACCCGGTGTGTTGGCACCACTAGGTGGAGGATTAGCCTACTGAGCCGCGGCGCCGGCCTTTTTTTTATTTTGACAGATAGAATTAGACAGTGAGAGAGACAGAGAGAAAGGTCTTTCTTCCGTTGGTTCACCCCTCAAATGGCTGCTACGGCCGGAGCTGTGCCAATCTGAAGCTAGGAGCCAGGCGCTTCCTCCTGGTCTCCCACGTGGGTGCAGGGCCCAAGGACTTGGGCCATCCTCCACTGCCTTTCCGGGTCACAGCAGAGAGCTGGACTGGAAGAGGAGCAACTGGGACTACAACCCAGTGCCCATATGGGATGCTGGCGCTGCAGGCGGAGGATTAACCAAGTGAGCCACAGTCGGCCCCAACTCCTCAACTTTCTATTCCAATAAATCTCGTTTTTCCATAATATTTGAATCAAACCTGTACTTTTTAGTCTTTCATGTTTATTGTCTGTATTCCTGACCAGAAGTAAGTCCCTTAATGGGTAGGGGCTCTTTCACTCATATCATATTATTTTTTGTGTAAAGGCACAGAGCCTAGGGACAAGGAATGCTCGCCGAGAGTACAACCTAATCACGACGAAGCGGCACAGTGAGCCAGGCAGCGATCGCGTTCTCCCTAATCATCACGCTACGGCCCTATCTCCTTGCTTTCCTTCCATTTAGTAATTACTGTCCCTTCACTTGTTTAAGCTGAGACCTCAGTTACTAGTCATTACCGCTGATCTGAAACTTGGGACACTTGAGTTGCTCAGAGAACGTCAAAAACAGAATTATACTTTTCCTAACAAGGCCAGCAAACCCAATGTTTTCATAATAATTTGACAAACATTTACACAGTACTCACCATAAATGTTCAACATACTATTAAGAACAACAACAAAGTCAGCAAACGTTACACTTGGCAATGGGACTACAAGTCAACATGTCAATAAATACTAAATATCTTACACATGAGACTATGGAAACAAGCTTTTGGAATCTGAATTGCCCGAATGAAGGTAACATCCAGTCTTGTCTTGTGAAAACAATGACAAGAAAACTAATACTGAAAAGTTTTTGTTTTTATTTCCAAGATCAAATATTACAACAGGACATTTACATGTATTTATAAAAAAATGCAGCAGTTGAATTTATAGATCAGAGGTTTCCTTGAGTTTGGTCCCTCTCTCAGCACAGTGAGCTGATGTCTTCAAAAGACTTATCGTCCCACTCCCCTCCCTCCCCCACCCAGTTCTCCCACCCACCCTCCCCAGTTCAAGTTGCAGTATTAATATAAAGCAACTGGGTACAACACAGCAAGAATATTCACAATTTGGTACAGCCAAAACCAGAGGATCACCAATGGAGAGGAAGATCCTCATTTAAAAAGCATTTACCTATAGACTATGTGTAGCTATAGATTTATCACACCCAATTATCTAAGATTTCCCTGGTTTTAGAGCAAGTGGAAGTTCCATTGAGTATTAGCCAGCAGTTCCAGCTCTGTTTTACCTAAAGGCATGTCTTTCTCCTACAAGTAGAGGTTTTCTACCACCTCCACATCTCTTCAGATTTAAGGCTTTCCCTAGCACCTTTATTATCATTTACTGGATATACAGGAGGGTCTCTAGTGTGTCTTGATCAAAAAATTTCGTGGATGGTCCAGTTACCCCTTCTTCCCACAGTGGGGAAGAGCTGCAGAAACAAGTGATTATCTCCTAGCACCATGGGATTCAAGGCCCAGGAAACTGAGAACTCTGTGTGCATTTCAGGGAGGACTTGCCAGAAACACTGCAATAGGAGCGTTGTCTCTATCCACTATCTTCTTGCATTGAGTAACAAAGTTCCACTACAGATGACATTTAGAGCTTGTCCTGCAGTAAGAATGCAAATCTCAGAAAGACTACCACTTTGTCAAGGTGAGTACACAAACCTCCCAGGGAATCTCCAAATACTGTTTGGAACTGCTTGAGAAAAACTTTAAAGCATATACCCCAAGTTGACTTCACTCAAGTCCCCGACCCACCCTCAGCCCTAGCCCCAAACAAATTTCATTCCTTGATTAATCTCTCTGAACAAGATGGGAAGTGAGGTTTTTAGAAAACGACATGAAAAATGTTTAAAAAACACAATCAGTGAAGACATGCCAGAGCTGGTACATCCCAGATGATTCAAAACACAACGTTCAAACTGAACTCATACAGAGCATGCACAGAGCCCACAAACACTCCTGAAAGTTCCCATGACACAATCGACACCACATGAAAGAGGAGGATTTCCTTACGGGAGTGGGGGAAGACATCAGATGCTTAGAAGTTAATAATCAAAAGGAAAACTGTTCCGGGGAAGAAAAAAAAAAGATCCTTAGAGTGAAGACAATTGTGTCCAACAGAACCATGTCGATGCTTGGATGGAAGCCCCTCAAAGTCTAAGCATCATGTTAGCATCAAGTGGGACTCATTTCTATCCAAGACTAGAGGATTATCTCACAGCTTTAGTCTCTACTTCCCAGCAAGTGTCTTATATAGCCTTTCCAAAATGTGGGACAAACTGAGGAAAGTAACCAGGCCCATATCCCCAGAGAGGTAAGATAAACAGCCCCTACTAGAAGCTTGCTACTCACTAACTAAACAGTGGAGGTCACATACTGCTTTCACTCTAATTAGCAAGTAAAACAGGATTTTTCTGGTGGCAATGGGAGACTTAACTTACAGGGCAATAAGTTATTAAACAGTTATTATGAGCATATGATTAGTGTCAAAAACCTATTTATATTTTGAGTCCATTAATTTACTGGTATTTTCCATATTAAGAACACAGATGCTTTGAGAAAAGCATACTATTATAAAACCATTTTCCTGAAAACAGCAAGGTATGTGACTGAGTATCAGCGTTCCAGTGACATGGATCCTGGTGACACACG